GTGTGCGTGTGTGTGTATGGGTGGGAGAGTGTGTGTATGGGTATGTATGTCTTCGTGTGTTCTTGTGCGTGTGTGTGTTCGTGTGCGTTTGTGTTTGAGTTTGTGTGCGTGAGTGGGGTCCGGAAGAAACATTGAAATAGATGTATACATAAATAGATAAAAATAAAAATGGATAAACTGATAAACCGACATAAATATTTGAGGAGTCTCATTAATCCTCCTTTTCTCCTTCTGCACTTCATTCCATCATCTTCCCTTTCTTCCTCTCTTTTTTCCTCCCCTTCCCTTTATCCCTTCCTTTCTTCCTTCCTTCTCTTCTTTCTCTTTTCCTCTCTTCCTACTTTCTTTTCTTTTTTCTATCATCTCTCCTTTGTGTCCCACTTTCTCTTCGTTCTTCCTCCATCTCTCCCGCTCACTTCTTTCCCTCCATTTCCTCCTCTACTTTTACCCTCTTTTACCTTCTCTCTACCTTCCCTCCCTTCCTCCATTCCCCCTTCTCTTCTTTCCCTCCTCCCTCCCTCTCCCTCCCTTTCCCTCCTCCTTCCCTCTCTCCCTTCCCCCTTCTCTTCTTTCTATTCTCCCTCCCACTCCTTCCCTTCCCCTTTATCTCCTTATCATCCCCCTCCTCTTCCCTTCCATCCACCCTCCCTTCCTCCTCCTCTTCCTTTCCTCCTCCTCTCCCTTCCATCCATCCCCCCTCCCCTCTCTCTCTCCTTTTCCACCCTCCCTCCTTCTCTCTCCCCTTCATCCATCCTCCCTCCCTCTCTCTCTCTCTTCCCACCCCCCCTCCCTCCCTTTCACCCTCCTTCCCATATCTCTCCCTCCCTCCCCATCTAAAAAAAAAAAAAAAAAAAAAAAAAAAAAAAAAACATGGAGTGATCCCCAAACACCGGACTTTTCACGCCATAATGACCCCTTGTCGACGTGTTATTAATGGTCACACCGAAGCGACGCATAAGTAATGTAAATTTACCGCGGCCATATAGCGGAGTACGTGCTCGTTTCCCCTCCTATTCTCGCCCCCTCCTCCTACTCCTTCCCTCCCCTACTCCTTCCCCACTCCCTCTCCTACCCCTCATTTCCCCTCCCTCTCTCCCTCTTCTCTCCTTCCCGCCCTCTCCTCTCTCCTTCTCCTCCCTTCTTCCCCCTCCTCTCTTCCTCTCCTTCTCCTACCTCTTCCCTTCCCCTCCCCCGCCCCTACTACTCCTCCCCCCCTTCTCGTCTTTGCATGTCCTTCTCTCTCTTCTTCCCCTCTCTTTCTCCCCCCTTCTTTCCCCTTTTTATCACACTTCCATATATGGTGTCACCCTTTTTCCCCTGTTTATCTATCCTTTTCTTATACTTATCCTTTATCTTCATATCTCTCGCATCCTGATACTTGCCTTCCTTCCTTTATTTACGCTTTCTTCTTTCCCATATTTACCCCCTACACTCTGCCTATTCTCATTCTCCTTGCTTCTTTTTTCCCTTTTCTTGTTACCTATCATTCCCCCTACCCCCCCCCCCACATCCCTCAACATCCCCTCTCCTCTACACCTCCTCTGGGCCTTTCTTCCTATTTTCTCTCTCTTCTCTTCCATCCTTCCTCCTTCTTTTCTTCCTGTATTTTTTTCCTCATTTCTTTTCTTTCATTATCTGCCATTCCCGTTTTCCTTCCGTTTTTTCTCTTAGAATCTATCTTGCTTTTTTTCCTTCTTCCTTTTCTCTCTCTTCTCTCTCTCTTCTCTCTCTCTCTCTCTCTCTCTCTCTCTCTCTCTCCTCTCTCTCTCTCTCTCTCTCTCTCTCTCTCTCCTCTCTCTCTCTCTCTCTCACTCCTCTCTCTCTCTCTCCTCTCTCTCTCTCTCTCTCTCTCTCTCTCTCTCTCTCTCTCTCTCTCTCTCTCTCTCTCTCTATCTATCTCTTCTCTCTCTCTCTCTTTTCATTTTCTCTCTCTTTCTTCCCCCCCTCTCTTTCTTGTTCTCTCTCTTTTTCTCTCTCTCTTCCCTCCTTCCTTCCCTTTCATCCTCCATCTCCATCTCTTATTTCTTCCACGCTTCCCTCTCTTACCCCATCCCGTCCTGCACTCCATCTTCCCTCTTTCTTCCCTCTTTCCTCCTTTTCTCTCTTCCCCTCCTCTTCTTCTCTTCTAATTTCCACCTTCGTCACTCTGTTCCATCCACCGTCTCTTTCTATCCCTCCCTCTTTATCTCCCATCTTCTCTTTCCTCCCTTCCTCTTCTCCTCCTTCCTTCTCTTTACTCCCTCCCTTTTCTCCCACGTTCAATTTCCCTCCCTCCCTCTTCTCCTTCCCTCCTCCATTCTTTTCCTCTCACCTTCTCTTTCACTCTCCCTCTTCTTTTATCCTCTTACCTCTCTTCATCCATCTTCTCCTTCCTTATCTTCCTCTTTCTATCCCTCCATTATCTCTCCTTCTCTTTCCTTTCCTCCCTCTTCTCCCCCCCCCGCTCATTCTTTCCCTCTAACCCCTTCCCCCCCTCTTCCTCCTCCCCATCCTCCCACCCACCACCCTCCCACCCTCCCACCGCCCTCCCATCCCCTCCACCGCCCTCCCCCATCGCCCCCCACCCCAGTCCACCGCAACCCCACCGTCCCTACCTCCCCCACTCCCCCACCGCCCCCCACCACCCCCTCCCCCATCGCCCCCACCCCATCCACCACCCCACCGCCCTCCCACCACCCCCTCCCCATCGCCGCCACCCCAGTCCACCGCAACTCACCGTCCCTAACCCCCCCACCCCCCCACCCCCTTCTCGCCCAGTGGCTCGCGTGAGGTTGAATCCGCGTTCGGAGTTCCAGAGGTCACGGTCGTTCCCTCGGGCCAGTTCGGTAGTCGCCAGCTGATGACCCAACCCTCCCTCTCCCCCCCCTCTCCTCCCCTCCCCCCTCTCTCCCTCTCTCTCTCCCTCTCGAGCTCCCTCCCCCTCCCTCCTCTCTCTCCCTTCTCTCTCGCCTCCCCTTCCTCCTCTCTCTCCCCTTTTTCTCCTCTCTCCTTCTGGTAAGTTTTCATTTTATTTTCTTCCTCTCTCTTTCTCCCCTTTCGCCTCCCCTTTTTCCCCTCTCTCCTTCTGGTAAGTTTTCATTTTATTTTCTTCCTCTTTCTCTCTTTCTCCCCTTTCGCCTCCCCATTCCTCCCTCTTTCTGATAGTTCATTTTTATTTATCTCTCTCTCTTTCTCCTCTTTCGAATCCTCCTTCTCCCCCTCTTCTGGTAACTATTCATTGTTCTTCCTCCTTCTCTTTACCTCTTTTCGTCTCTCATTAACTGCCTTTCCCTTCTTATCTTCTTCTAGCAACCTCCTATCTTTCTCTCTCCCTCCTTTCCTCCTTCTTTCCTCTTCAATTGTCCTCTTTTCCCTCTCCTTCTTGTGACTTCCCAGCTTTTCTCCTTTCCTTCCTTCTTTCCTCTCTCCTTTCCTCCCCCCTCCCTTCCTCACTCCCTTCCTTCCTCCCTCTTCTTCAACTGTCACCCATCCTTCTCCCCTTCCCCCTCTTCCCCTTCTCTCTTTTTTATTGCCGTTTTACCACACTTCAGTTCTCCTTTTAATTCCTACTCTCTCCCTTTTCCCTCTTTCCCTCCCTCTTCCCTCCTTCCTTCTTTTATTCCATATAATCCCTTCCCTCCATTTCTTTCTCTCCTCTTTCTCTTTTCTTTCAATTTTTCCACATTCTTACCTCCTTCCCCTTCCTAACCCCCTCCTCTCGATTCCTCCTTTCTCCTCCTTTATTCATTTTCCTCCCTTTCCTTTCTCTCTTCTTCCCTTCCTCTCTCTTATTCCCTTTCCATCTCTTTATTCCCCCCCCCCCAATTCTTCCCCTTTTCCATATCCTTTTCCATCCTATTCCCTTCCTTTCTTCCTCTATTCCTCCCTTTCCTCTTCTTCTTTCCTTCCTTTTCACTCCCTTTTACTAATACTCCCTCCCCCACCCCCCCCTCCACAGACCTCTCCTCCCCCCCCCCAAATGCCATTTAAACTATTATAACGAGATTTTTTTCGCGAGGGTGGGGGTAGGGGGGGGGTGTCCGTTGTAACTAGGTGGTCAGTTGACGCGAATTTTCAAAACGGGAGGCGTTTGGCAATGTTAATGATCATGAATAATGATGATAATGATGAACTGCATTCCTTGTGACACAGAGAAGGTATGAATGAAAATGAATATCTTCATTAATAACGATGATGTTAATGATGATAATGAAGATGATAATGGTGATGATAATGATGATTAAAACAATGACAAACCCCAATATTCAGAGATCCCTTCAGCTCCCGTCTATCCAACCCTCCAACCCCACACTATCTACACACCCCTCCACCCCCCTTCATTCAACCACTACACCCCTCCATATTTCAACCCCCAATCCCCCCAACCCTTTTCTTCAACCCCCCCCCCTCACCACCTCCTTCTCCACCCCTTTCTCCAACCCCTTCCCTCTCACCGCCCCCTTCCCCACCCACTTTTCTCTAACCCCACCACCCACCTCCTTCCCCACCCTCTTTCTCAACCCCATCCCTCCACCCTCACCCCCACCCTCCTTCTACCCTTACCAATACCACCCACCTCCCTCCACCCTCACCCTATCCCTTCCTCCCACCACCACCCACCCTCCCACCACCCCCCTCTTCCCTCCTCTTCCTTGCACCCCACCATCACCTTACCCCCACCCTCCGCCCTCACCCTCCTCACTCCCACCACCACCCTCACCCCCTCCCTCCTACCTCACCACCATCACTCCTCCACCATCACCCCTCCTCCCACCCTCACCACCACCCTCACCCCCCTCCCTCCACCCTCACCCTCCTCCCACTCACACCACCCACCTCCTCCCTCCCCTTCCTCCTCCTTCCACCCCCTCACCCCCTCCTACGACCTCACCCAACCCACCTCCTTCCACCATCACCCCTCCTCCCACCCTCCTACCCTCACCACCACCACCTCCCTCCCCCTCCCCCTCCCCCTACCTCACCACCACCCCCTCCCACTCCCCACCCTGTCAATTGCAACCTTAAGGTCCTCTGCGCGCTGCACGACTCGCCCCCTGACCGCCCCCGCTCCCATTGCAAGGGCGGGCGAGCAGACACCGGGGGCGTGCGGTCTGCCTGCTAGCTATCCTGCTCCTGCTGTCGCTCCTGCTGCTGGCCTCGCTGCCTGTCGCTTTGCTGCTGGCTGCTGCTGTCGCTGTGCTGCTGTCGCTTCTGCTGCTGTCGCTCTCTGCTGTCCCTGCTGCTGCTGTCGCTCTGCTGCTGTGCTTCTGCTGCTGCGCTTCTGCTTGCTGTCGCTTCTGCTGCTGCTCGGCTGCCTGTCGCCTGCTGTTCTGCTTCTGCTGCTGTCGCTTGCTGCTGCTGTCTGCCTGTTGCTGTCGCTCCTGCTGCTGTCGCTTCTGCTGCTGTCGCTCCTGCTGCTGTCGCTTCTGCTGCTGTCGCTTCTGCTGCTGTCGCTCCTGCTGCTGTCGCTTCTGCTGCTGTCGCTTGCTGCCTGCTGTCGCTCCTGCTGCTGTCGCTTCTGCGCTGCTGTCGCTTCTGCTGCTGCGCTCCTGCTGCTGTCGCTTCTGCTGCTGTCGCTCCTGCTGTCGCTCCTTGCTGCTGTCGCTTCTGCTGCTGTCGCTCCTGTTGCTGCTCGCTCCTGCTGCTGTCGCTTCTGCTGCTGCTGTGCTTGCTGCTTGCTGTCGCTTCTGCTGCTCGCTCTGCTTCTGCTGCTGTCCTTCTGCTGCTGTCGCTTCTGCTGCTGTCGCTGCCTGCTGCTGGTCGCTTCCTGCTGCTGTCGCTTCTGCTGCTGTCGCTCCTGCTGCTGTGTCGCTCTGCTGCTGTCGCTCCTGCTGCTGTCGCTCCTGCTGCTGTCGCTCCTGTTGCTGTCGCTCCTGCTGCTGTCGCTTCTGCTGCTGTCGTTTCTGCTGCTGTCGCTCCTGCTGCTGTCGCTCCTGCTGCTGTCGCTTCTGCTGCTGTCGCTTCTGCTGTTTTGTTGGTTTAATGAGGTTTTCTTGGGCTTTCTATTGCTGGTTTTTTTGGGGGGGTTGTTTTTGTTTTTAAGGAGAAAAGTGGTGTTTTTTT